CCCCAAAACCCCAAAACCCCAAAACCCCAAAACCCCAGAAAGCAATATTTAGAGATGAATCAAGATTAGTAATACAATAAATAAATGCAAAATATGAAAGGATTGATTGAGCAAAAATAGTGCAAAATTCACTTAGTTTGAGAAATAAGTGTTTATTTAAATAAATTATGGCCTTTAGAATCTAAAAACTGAAGATTCTAAGATCACCATAAATAGGGTTTATCTATTCATTTAGCCATTCAACAATAAACAAGTCATTGCTGTTGCTGTAGATTCTAAAGTTATTCTTTGGTTTCTTGAGCTAGCTTTAATTCATTTTGGCAGTACTAACTGACATCAATTTTATCTGAATCTACAATGTAGTAAGAGGAGACATATCTCTCTTGGATATCCCTGACTACTGGGGTGATGCATTATGAGTAGTCATGTAATCTTTTAATAAATTCCTGCTTTAGAGCTGCTCTGTTGAGTTCCATTGAAATTAATAATTATATTATTTGCTATCATTATTGCTAAAATAATAATTAATTTAAATTATTATTCAAAAAAATAAGGACTATTCGGAAAATACTTGAATGGCTTAGAAGAAAATACAAATCATCATCCTTGGAGATGGTGCAGTCGGTAAAACTTCTCTTTTAAAGATGTAAGTCTAAAGAGTAAATTATTAACAATATGTGATAGGTACTCTGAGAAGTAATTCACCTAGAGCCATATGGCAACAATTGGATTGGACTATGTCTCGACTACTTACAAATCCCCCAATAGCGAGGACATTGCAGTTAAGATATGGGACACAGCAGGTCAAGAGAGATTCAAGACTATCACATACAGTTTCTATAAGCAAGCACATGGAGTTATAGTGACCTTTGACGTGACAAATTAAGTATCATTCACAAATGTGAAGACTTGGCTCGAATCAATCTACCAGCATGCTGATCCAAGCATTACAAAGGTATTAGTCGGTAATAAGATTGATCTCGAAGACGACAGAAAAGTATCATCAGAGGAAGCTAAATCTCTTGCTGACCAACATAAGATGAAGTATTTCGAGACCTCTGCAAAGCTCAATAGAAATATTGATGAACTTATGCAGCACTTAATGGAAAGGGTCTATCAAAAGATGTTCACTGACGTAACAGAAGATAGCAGAGGAAAGAGCGTTGTTATTAGTAAAAAGGACCATAGAAGATAGGAATAAAATGGTAAAAATAAAAACGGTGGAGGTGGATGCTGCAAATGAGAATGAAATGAGAGATCAGTATTCTTATTATGTGATATATCTAAAATCTTGCTCAATAATTTCATCTCTTACTCATCTCCGATTATAGAATAAATTTTATGATTTCTTATCTCTAATAAACTACCTAGCTACACAAATTTACTCTACACGGGGTTTTGGGGTTTTGGGGTTTTGGGGTTTTGGGG